CTGTGGCCAGTGCTCAGCAGTCCGCATGGAGCGAGTGCACCCGGTGCTTGTTTTCAAGAATTTGAAAGTGCTCCTCGCAGCCCAATTCTTCTTTAGCCCCTGCTGTGGCTGCGGGAGGCGGCTCATGCCTCGGGAATCTTGCTTACCCTTGTTTTGTGTGACTTCCTTTGCGGAGGTTCATAGTTCATGGCTCCGCCAGAGACAGGGACTGGACGCCAAGGAGGCAATCCTGCAGCATCTGCAGCACGCAATAGCCAGGCCTGCTCTGATCTTCAATGTTGAGGAACAAATCCTTGCTTCGCGAGATGCCTGTGCAATGAACGGCTCAGTCACAGGGGGGCCGGACGAGGTCCGACACGGCACATGGCCTGGCAGGAAGGTTCATCAACGCAAGGGAAATCACTATAAGCTAAAGAGCCGTCGCAAAGTGCAGATGTCGCCAGCAAATAGCAGGAGTTGCTAGTTGCCTACGGCTTGAGCCTTGAATCGTCATGTGAAGCCTTTTTTCCACGGTGCCATGGCTTGGATGTTTAGTTGGGACCTGGTGCGGCAGCTGGACATCAGGTTTACCTCTGTCGATGACGAGGCTAACTTTGTGGAGCATTTGGCCCAGAAGCGGCGGCTCCAAACTTTGGTCAGCAGCATCTCAGTCATCGCAGTCTGGCTCTACAGCGAGCTACGGTTTCTCGCGCAGCGCGCAGATGCTGGGGCCGAGGATGACGCGGTTGGCCTGCACAGCTGGCTGACATTTGGCGGATGCTTCGCTTGGTTACTCGCAGCCGTTGTTACGGCCCGACCCAAGTCTAAGTTCTGCACTTTCAATCATGAATGGATTTGGGTGCCCTTGGCATCCTTCTGCTGTGCGCTGGTGGTTCAGCCGCGGCCCTATGAGGTCGGCCCATCACGGCTAGGTATTGCGTCTGCAGCTGTGAGTGCAACTGCGATGCTTCCACTGAGAAGCGCTGTCAGCTGGCTGGTCTATGCTGTGGCTGTCGTGGCCTTCGCCCTTGGCAGTCAAGACAAGGTTGGAGCCGCTGACAGCGTTGCCTTGGTTCTGGTGGCCATTAGCTTGTACCATGCAGGTTGGTATTGCGAGTCTTGCTCGCGAATTGCTGTTGACAGCGAGTGTGGAAAGCTTGTTGTGGAAGATCTGGTTTCTGACGACGAAGAGAGCAAGCCTGTGACTAAAGAAGCCACAGAGGCACCTGACTATGCAATCCTGCGGATAGGAGGTGATCTGACGATCCTCCCGTGCAGTTTGCAAGAGCAGCGGTACTTCGGAGCAGATTTGGCCGGCAAGTCTCTTCTGGATTATCTATCGCCAGAGGATCATCATTCGTTTCTGTTGCTGCTCCACTCTGAGCTCTGGCACTTGAGGAGCATTATTGTTCGCATTAAGTGTGCCTCGAGTCAGGAATCTCTGCGTATCCGCTTGTTCCAGACTGGTGCTCAACCACCCTGGCTGGTCTTTTTCTCGGCCGTTGATTCCTGCACTCATGCTCCACGGGGCCTGCCATCAGTGCCAGATGATCCACCTTGCAAGTCCACGGGCGTAGAGGTTCAGATTGGCAGGGACAGTATCCCAGAGCACTGGGATGGTCCAGAATCACTAAGCCTCAGCATGGCTAGCGGGCCGAGGCTCCCTAGACGGTCCCCTTCACTGCGGTCCGTTCGCTCCATTCGGTCGGATCAGGATCAGACCAGTCCCAGACTGCCCCTTGCCTCCGATGTGCCCGGGAGCCCTTCGCTTCGCATTCCAGGCCTCAACACAGGTGCTGAGGCCAGTCACAGTGTATTCAGCTTGTCAGCATGCAGCTGGTCTTTCTCCACGGATGGTTACAAGGCACAGGCACAGGTGAGGTCCTTGAGCGACGGGCAGACGCAGACGGAGCTTGTGTGGAATGACCTGGGATGGCAGTGCCGGAATTGTCAGAAGCCGCCACGACCACCTCAGCCCCCTTCAGAGGCACTTCAGCCTACGCTGTCACCTCGAGTGATGGGCAAAGCTGCCAGAAACGTGGGTTCATTCCAAGGTAGCTACAACAGCTACCAGGCACACATGTCTCCCGAAGAGAGGCGCAATGATCAGCTTCTCCGAATGCAAGGCTGCTGGGTTCTATGCAATGGCCCATCAAAGATGGTGGGCTGGCTCCATGGCCTCCAGCCACAATGATTGTAACGAGGATCAGATATATCAGATGATTAGCATGATGCTGATGATGATAATGATGATGATAATGATGATGATGATGATGATGATGATGATCTTGGTTGTTTTGCTGGTGGGCGACACTGATGATGACTGGTTTTTATGGTTTCACGATTCTGATGGTGTACTGATCAGGCCCATTGCGCAGGATCCATCCGGAGTTGTTCGTGTCCATGACATGCTGGTTGAACAATCCCTCTGTTTATAGGCCGAGATTTCTGCAGACAACACTTTCGCTGTTGATGCGTGAACACTATGATAGCTGTGGATGAGGCTTCGTCATCACAGGCGAGCAGGTGCGCACAACACAGGGGGCAACACTGCTGCAGTATGATGACCGCTGCAACATCCTCTTAGCCGGCGGCGGCTTGGCGGCACAGTTAAGACCAATCTCATCTGCTCAACACTATGCACAAGCTGTCTCAGGCTATTTGTCTGTGGATGAGAATGACAACCTTGTGCGTAATGGCAAAAGTGGGGGCCAGTATCTCTACGTGCGCGTCAACGAAGGCAAGGAATCTGTTTTTGTGAAGCTCCACCCATGGACAGTAACGAGGCGCAGGGTTGTGTGACAGGTGATCTCAACCGTGCGATGCAGCCTACGAAGAGCACATCGCTTGTCTCTCTGGTGTCTGCAGTTCCTACCCCTGATGCCATAAGGAGATGATCCTGTTCCTACGCTTCCATCGATGTGCCTAGATGCTGATTGCCTGCATCATTCCTGATCCTTCCTAACTTGTGAAGAGGTGGTCGTTCTGGTCAGCTTGTTGTGTGAACCACTGCGAAGATTCACCTCCAGCCTCTTCGCATTTTGAAGTCTGCAAAGCAGCGTTTTCTAATTTGAGTCTGGGCTTCGGGCCAGAACATCAGAATCGCGAGCAGTGCTGCTGCCCAAGGCAGCGGTCCTGCCTTGTTAATGCGATCCAAGGGAGATTGGATTGATGAAAGTTGATGATGCTCTGATGCCACTGCAGGTAGTGTTTGGGGGTGCGGCTTCAAGCTAGGTCCTGCTTTGGGTGCACTTTCCTTAACTGAGCAATCCTGTTGTTAAGTGTGTCCCCAGCATGATTTTTATTTATACGTACAACAAACTACAGACAGTTGTCTTCGTCCAACAAGGGTAGTAATAGAAGAGGCGCTGGCAGGTGTCGTGCTTGTGTTTTTGACACTTGTACAGGGAAGTCCTGACCTTGGGGTAGGACAAAGCGAGCAAAACAACTTACACTGCCTGCCATTCTGACTCTTTGCTCCCACCACGTCGCAACCCCACACACAGCGGATCACATTTTGCTTCCATGTCAATGTAGTACATCATACAGGCTCCAGAACAAAATACAGGGGCAGCGTTACCTGCAGTGGTTGGCAGCACCATCCCCGTCACTGTCACCATCACCATCACCATCAGCAGCAGC